AATTAAATTGGTGTATAATTGATTTTTTATATAACTAAAAAAATGTAGAAATATTAATATATGTCTTTTAAAAGTATAATTTCATATTTGTAATAAAATTCTTAAATAATATATTATGGCCAGTTAACACATAGTATATGGCCAGTCAATACATAGTGTGTATTTCTGTATTGACTGGCCATAAAAACAACTTTCACCTAACCTCATCTAGCTAGAGCTTTGATCCAAATTTTATTTTAAAGATTAATAATTAGGCTACACATTGATATGAAATTTATTTGGTTAAACCCAAATCTTATTATTTTTTTTAAAAAAAAGGCAAGCAATTTCACTTTTGTAAAAGTAGGATTATGCCAAACAAGCCCCAATAGTGGGGTTAGTCGGATCACTTTTTAGGCTTTCTATATACTTGAAAGATTGATATTCCCAAAAATTGACAGCCCGGTAGGGTCAAGTCACACTAATTATGACTACAAGCACGGTCCCGATCTCGTTCTCCGCTATAGATTTTTGTAATTATCCTTAGATCTCATGGGAGGAATTTACATACGAATTTTATATTGAGTATTTCAATTTTATAAATTACTTAAACAACTCGAAACAAATTAAAATAAAAACGAGTTGGATATTATTATTCTTTTTTTTACTATTCCTATTTTTCAATAGGGATTAAAGATCCGTAGTAGGCTGGTTGTAGCCAACACCTATCCGCCTATTTATATAAAAAATATAATTTAATCCGTCGGCCCAATGTTTAAAAATTTTAATTATTAATGGCGGTTCTGGAGCTATCATATTTATTAATATTAAATAAATATTTTTAAAAAAATTTAACTTATAAAAAAGAAGCAAAATTATTTTTTTTTAAATAATTTTGAAAGTCTGTTCTGTTTACTTAACCCAAAAAAAAATATTTCGAAATTCACCTTTGAAAAATTAGAAATAAAAATTAGCAAAAAAAAAATAAAAAACACACCCATTGTAAACTATTGTACCGATATACATTATTTATTAATTAATTTTATAATATAAATATTTAATGTCGTAAATTAAAAGGGAGTAAAGACTGATCTGGAATTCTGTTAGGATAAATCGGAATAACTCCATTTTAACCCCATGAAGGTTAATTTTTAAATTTCTTTCTTTCTTCCTTTCTTTCTTTCTTTCTTTCTTTCTTTCTTTCTTTCTTACTTACTTTCTTTCACGAATTATGTGAAATTAATACTTTATTAAAATTTTATTATTTAAAAAAAAACAATTGAAAAAAAAGAAAATCAAAATTTTTGGTACACATTGTAAAATATTAAAATTTGACGTGTAAATGGCTTGTATTAATCTTTGAAAACCTACCCCTGTCCTTCAGTAGTGTTGTTAAACGACTTGATTCGAGACGATTTTAAAAAATGAGGAAAATATTACCCAAGCGTGGAGATTACGCCAGATGTTCAATCCTATGTGCCATCTAAGAAGCAAAATCTTTAGGCTTGCATAATAATTTTCTGGATAAAATGATGAGTAAGCCGCTTTTATAGACTCAAATTGAGCCGTTTAATAACATTATTTCATTGTCTTTAAAAAAAAAATTTTAATTTAAAGGAAGTTTATAAAAATATTTTTATTTATTTTTTCTTATATGTTAATTAAGAATTAGGTTTAATATTCTACATACGACACGATAAGTTATTAGATTAAAATCTCTTATATCATTATAAAAAATTTTTTTTACTGCCACTTGAAAAAGTTATATCTAAGTATTAAATTCATATAACTGTGGTGACGTAAATTGTTTATATATGAATCCAATACAACAAACATTCTGTAGCGATCTAAGCATATTCTTGTTAGTCTACTGGATGTCTCATCTATTCTATACATAATATTTTTAATTTCAAAATTAGAAAGAATCGATGGCAGGAAAGAGATTCAGAATCCCTATGGGAAGGATTTCTAAATTTCTGTCTATCCTTTCAAATAAAAATATGTATACTGTGTATACTATACTGATGTTGACATAGAGAGAAATATATTTTCTTATCGATGGGTTCATATGTCGAGACACTTAAAACTTTATTACTTCAAAATGTAAGTTAGAATTGTCCAATCTGCCCCATAGCATCGATTGCCCGGTTTCTAACATAGTGAATAAACATGATAAATATATAAATTTAATTTTAATCATTTTATATTTTAGTCACGTGAAAGAGATTGGAGCAGCCACAACCCCCCCCCCCCCCACCGATTAAAACAATTTCAGGCCGGAAAATATGTGCTAAATATAATTTCGATTATAAAAATATATTACACGCTGAGCTAGACACTTTACACGAAACTAGTTTACGGGGAAAGCATTCTACCGCGTATTTTAAGAAAATCCGCCAAGCTCTTTAGGTGCTGCGTGTTTCCGCTTTCCTTCCAAAGTTAACTTATATTTTAGAAAAATAAACCAGAGCCCAAGATAGCTATATTATTCCTGCCTAGAAAAAGTTAGATTCAGCCGGCTAAAAATTCGGTCAAAAAAAAAATTAGAAAAATTATCTACGTTATTGTCAAAAAAATTTATAATAATTTTTTTTTTTTTTTGGCAGATAAAGTATTTCATTTCGTTATTCTTTTTTTTTTTTATTTTTTATCAAAATAAAATGTAATTTTTTTTATATTTGCCAATCAAAGATGATTGACACTTTTATAAGGTTATATTTTTTTTTTTTATTTTTTGAAACGAAAATATAAATTTAAAAAGGTATAAAAAATTTTGAATTTCACAAGGTAATTTTTTTTAAAAAAAAATAAAAAATAAATAATTGTCATAATAAAATTATTATTTTTTGTTATGTTATAAATGGGAACCAGTGCCATCATTGGGGACGGGGCCAAGAGGCGTCCCAGCCTTAGGCCGCATTCCTAGTGGATCCGATCCGACACGATCTAACAGCTGATCGATTTTTAAAATCTGTTTATGAGATCAATTTTTTTTTTGTAATAATATTAATTTTGTCTTTAATTCGATACATGATAATAACCCCAAGAAATATTGGTTTTAATAAAGAAAAATTGATTCTCATAAACCGATTTTTAAAAATCCATCAGCTGTTAAATCGTGTTGGATCGGATCCACTATGAATGCGGCTTTAGTACGACACCACCTATATAGTGTTGTAAAACGGCTGTTTCGAGCCAATTTTTTAAAAACGGCTATCTCAATATTTCTTCCAGAAAAATCTTAAGCAAGCCTGAAGATTTTGCTCATAGAAGGGACAAAGATCTAGACATTATATTTATCTAAATCTCGAGGCTTAGGCAATATTTTTCTGGCTAAAAATATTTGAGTTAACAGTTTTAAAAACCATTTAACAACACTCTACACCTATATTCAATTTAAGGGCATTCAAAACTATTTTATAAGAGGTGGTGCAATTTTTTTTCCTTTCGGAGTTTCTAAAAATACCATACACAATATAAGGCCTTCCTTGTTGGGTGTTCGTTATATCACCTATATTTATCCAACTACGATATACAGAATAAATGAACTTAAACTGAGTTTGAGCAGGTTTATAAAATTTGACTAATCCAATTTTAGGGCTGAAGGATAGTTTATTTATTTTCCTAAAGGAGTTGGCACAGGATTCACCCCATGCCTAAAAAAATGGGAATACATATAAGAATGGTTTTGCCACTATTATATTAAAGAATAAAAGAACGTTCAATGAAGTCTGGCGTTGAAAGATATTTAGACGAAAATGGTGAAAAGCATTTAAGAGTAAATACGAAATGGCATCACGACAATGAACAACACGCTACAACTGACTTCAATGTATAAAAATACTTTTAATAAATGAAATCTTCAATATAGTTATGAATGAGTATTAATATCAATGGGCAATGATAAACCATTATTTGTTTTTAAATAAAACTTTGCAATTATATTCAATTTTATGCACTGATTATTTCTTCACAGGAGTAAGCAGGATTCTGCTGAAGAGGGGAGGGATGGAAGCACTATTAGATAGGTTTATTCCTCATAAATTATTGTAGCCCTTATAGCTATTACTCGATTTTTTTAAAAGAAAATAATAATTCGTTTTTGAACACAGCTCTATATAAAAGTAATTTTAAAATATTAATAATTATATTCAATCGAAATTACATATCTTAATAATAAAATTAAAAAAAATTAGCACTAATTTATTATAATCCCTTTTCTCCTATTATTTTTATATATATACAATATACATATTTAACTAAAAATAAAGGTTATTTATGTAGTAAAACAAAAAATTTACTATATAGTTGATAGTCAAGGATTTTATGTATTAATATAAATTATAACTTTATAATATTTTTTATTTTATTTTTTTTTGTCATACATTAAAAAAAACAAAAGCCCAAAAATTACGTTTTATATTATACTAGACAAATTGTCGCCAAATATATTATTTTTTTTTGTTTAAAGAAAGTAATATTTAACGAAAAATATTTTAAAAACATATTAAAAATTGTTTTTTTTTAATATTTATTTTATAATTATAAATAAATAATATAAAGAAAATAGAAATGAGAATAAAATTTTGCTTTTAAATTAAAAGAAAAAAAATTTTATAATTAATTAAATATAATATAAGTTTTTTAAAAATTAATTCATAAAAAATCAAAAAAAAAATACATATTTTAGATATTCTAATAAAATAATGATAATAATTGTCAAATTAATTTGACGCTTCCAAAGTTTGTTAAATTTTTTTTTACAAACAATTTGTATTTTTAAATAAGAATTCTTTTAGATTTTATATAAAAAAAATATAGAACCACAAAAAAAAACTCAAACCACAACAATAAATTAAGTTTTTTTCAAAAAAGAACAATTTCTTTTAAAGATTTTTCGGTTTAAAAAAAGAAAAGGCGTTATAATAATTATTATTATTATTTATAAGTAAACATTAACACAAATTTTTTTTTTATTTTAAAAATGTTCTTAATGAAAAACTTGTTGGTATAATTCGGAAAATTATATAAATGATATTAGATACACATTCGATACATAATCCACATAATATTAGTAAACATAATTACAACACTCCTCGTAAAGTAGTCGATCCTCACGACTCCTGGAAAAATCATTCCGAGTATAGTAAAGATCTTCCTAATAATTCGGCTACTATCAATAACCCAGGGGTCCATCAAAGGGACTCCAACAGTATCGGCGATATTAATATGCAAGAATACAATATCTCGAACTTACCAAATTACAACGAGTCAAATATTTATTACGCCAATAATTGCTCCATTTATCAGCAGAGCAATTGTTTCATCCCAGAGATCGAAGATCATTATCCTTATTACGACTACGGGATCAATTCCGGTTTCAACGATAATATCAACGGAGCTAAACATCGCGGGTATGGTGTCAAATTTGACCACTTCAATTCTAAAACCGAAGGAGCCGAGGACCTCGATACCGAGTTTGCCAGGGGTTCTCACATAATATCTAAAAACATATTAAGTCAGCTGACTAATGAAGATAATTCTAAGTCGTTTAACGCGCAAAAGTATACAACACTAAAAAATTATTTTTGTTAATTAACTTTAATCGAAATATAATATTAACAAGCAATATATATATATACATACTTTGTTTTAATCATCTAATTGTTTGCTACATTAAGATCCATTTACAGTTAGCGCCTATTCGCGGCGAAGAATACAAAAATACAGCATATATTTTTTTTATGATTCACCGTGGATCTAAACTGTGACTGCAGAGTTACATCCTTCTCTTGATATATAAAATGTATCTCTTTTTATTTAAATGTCGCAACACATATTTATCAGAGATATAGTTTATAGGGATATTTTTTTTTAGAAGAGCAATTAGATAGAAAGAGAATACTTTGTCAGCCTATTTTTTTGTTCAGGCCCAGCCCACCAAAATCAAGAGCAATGTTTATCTAAGAGTGGACTTGGTATGTGAAAGTTTTGTAAGGCGGATGGGGGTGGAGGAGCGGATATATATAGTATATTACTTTCTATTTTATTTTATATAACTTTCTCAACAAGGGAAATTACTAGATAAATTATAACGTCAGGGAAACTGGTCAAAAAAGCCGGGGCTAGTTTTAATTTTTTTTTTAAACAATAACAATACTTTTTAAATGACATCATTAAAACCAAGTTAAAATTTTTATAACATAATAATGGATTAATTTTTAACATTCATTTGCTTGCAATATTTCTTCCTAGAGGATAGCATTTAAATGAATCTTGAAGGGATAGAAAATTAGCAAAATTTACGAAACTCGGGTAGGCCTAAAAAAAACCGAGGCCGAAATTTGAAAATGGAATTATTATATTTATTTATTTTTCCGCCTCGCGTAAAAATATTTATTTTGCGCGGACTTCTAATAATCTCATTTTATGTTAGCGGCAATATGTTTTTTTTCCGCTAATTGCAACACGTTTTTTTTTAATTTAAAAATCTGATTATACCGGAAATGCATTTTCAGCATGTTTGAGAATATAATGAATTGTAGATAATCTTTAACTTTTTGAGTTCATTCATAATTTATATGAAATAAATATGTAAGAAATTAATCTAAATTATATTAAGTTCAAATGTTCACGATAAAAATTTTTCCGAAATTCGTAGGGTAGGTAATTCAAACACGATGAAATCCATTTCCGGGCAAAATGAGATTTTTCAATTTAAAAAAAAAAAACTTGCTCAAAAATTGATTTAAAGTTTAAAAATTAACACAATTTTCGCTAACACATATATATACAATATGAATGTGATTTATTTGCAATTTTCGTAATGACCTTTTTCAATATTAAATTAAACTCAGATAGGACACTCTATTTTTAAAAAACTAAAAAAATGCTATAACCATAATATATAATTTCTTGGCAATTTTTGTATATTCCTTATAATTACTATAATTCCAGAATTGTTTAAACTACATGAGAGAATACGAGAACCGCCTCTCTACACCTTTCACTTTCCCCAGAAATTCTTCATTTTGCGATTTATGATTCTTTTTATTAACATTTACAACAACAACAAAAATAGAGTATATATTTAACATTATATTTGTTTAAATTTTACCTAAATTCTGTTATACACTTAAATAAGAAATAATTTATATTTTACTATATTATATGATTTTGTAAGTTTTGGCGCATCTCGTGGGCTGGACCGAATATATCGTTTAAAAATTATTAACGGACCTGAACCAATAAACAGATGTTCAGGTCGGGCTGCACCTCATTCATACGTTCCAAGTTGTCAATTCCCGAAATCCAGTCTAAATTTTTTTTTTTACTAAACTAATATTTTAGATATGAATACGATTCGAAAAAATAAACACTGCGAACCTCCCCCCCCCTTCCACTTCTGGGGCTCTCCTAAGCAAAATAAATCTACTCATAGCTCTGCACAATTCTCTTGTGTAATTGTGAATAATCGCTAAAATCATAACTATATTAAGTCTTTACAACCCATCCATATAATCTCATTCTAACCACAAAATCTTTAAAAAATAATTTGTTACCATAAAATTAATCAAATCAAAATTTCCTTTTTATAATATATGGCCAAAAAAGATATATTATATGGTTCGAAAAAATTTCTACCCAATTATCAATCCCTACATTAAAACCATGATAATTATATATATTAACGAAATTTTTTTATTAAATTGATAAATCAATACATATTATAATTTTTTTAAAAAAAAACTTTTGTTTTTTTTTGTCAAAATATTAATATACAGGGGGAGGGGGGGGGGATAGAATAGTATATATAAATTTTCTTGTTTTTATTAACAAATAATTTTATTTGCCCCGCACAAACTTTTAATAAGCCGGGGTATAATGACCTTCAAGCGCATTTCTATATATATATATATATATATAACGGAATCGTGCTCATACAACGGGATGAGTTGGGTCAAGGAGCTCCATGATGGATTTAGGATTTGCATTTAGACCCGCCAAGACTAACTGGGATAAATATAGCATTTTTTAAGTCGCAAAATCTCTCCCTTTTCTCGAAGATTTGGTCACTGTTACGATTCCTGAGCATGAAGCACTCCAGTAATCATGGGAGACCATTATATAATATATACATTACACATTTAATATATTTTATTTAATTTAGTAATATAGCGAACTCTTGTAGGCTTTCGGGCCTGGAAGTAAAATGGGCGTATATAACCCAAAGGCGGGAAACCTAATTTCCCCCCCCCCAATAAACCAGTTGAAATATAAAATGGCGCATAATACAACATTCATTATACCTAGTGTTGTTAAACGGTTCGATTTGAGCCCATTTTTAAAAATGGCTAACTCAAAATTTTAGCCAGAATAATATTATGCTATGCCACGTGATTTCGCTAATAGATGTCCAAACCCTTTAGGCGTGCATAACATATTTCTGAATTAAACATTTAGTTAGCCGTTTTTTTAAAAAATCGGCTTAAATTCTGGCCGCTTAGCAACACTGAATTCCTTATCTTTTTACATTTCAAAACTTTACCTTCGAATAACATTTTACAAAATGCAGTCAAAGGTTGCTTAAAATGAAGAAAAATAGGATGATGTCGGTATATATACTATATGTCTGAGAGTAGACCAATTTTTTCAGTTAGGTTTACTTGTCCTAAGCCGAGGTTGGCTGTAAAATTCAGTGTCGGGTCAGGTCTCAATAATTTAATCTCTAAGTGGGTCTCTGACATAAATAAAAAAAAAAATTTTTTTTAAAACAACTTTCCCGGCTTTAAACATATAATATATATAAACTATATAATTAGATTTATTTTATATTTTTAATGATTCAAATTTTGTGTTTTTTGTTTTTTGAAAATAAAAAACTTTTAAATTTGAAATTATTTTCGTATTTTTATAATCGAGTTGAAAAATTATTGTTTATAATATCCTTCTTTTATTATGTATTTTTTTTTACTAATCATTATAATATTATAAGGGTTTTTTTTTGTGTTTTTTTAATGTTTTTTATATAATTTTTGTATTTTTATGATCAAATTTTAAACTGTATAAATAATATTCATTATTGAAGTATAACTCTAGTTATAATATATATCATCGTTTACTAGCTCCTTTTTTTAAGTGAAATTATTTCTTTTTTGTATAATGTCATCTATTTTTTGATGGAAGTGTTGGGTAGTGTGATTGATAGAATAAACAATGTCAACGCGAATGACTTTTTAACCCACTAGCATAAAGACCCTTAAATTTTGTGTGATGATGTATTTTTATGTCTTAATTTCTTACCTATAATTCACCCTTTTATGAAAAACTTTCCTGGCTTTTAACTAATTTGGCAAAGAAAAATAACCCTTTTTCAACCAAAAATTATAAAAATCACCCCTCTAGTTAGCAAAATATAATTTGGCGCATAATTCAAAATTTTGCAAACATGTTCCTTAAAATCATAGCTTTATAAGTTAAAATTTAGAAAGTTTTTTTTTAGCTTAATTAGAAATCACGCGATAACCTTTTGCATAATATATATCACCCTGGGGCAAAGTTGTTATGGGTAAAATAGTTAAAATTTTCCGTCTGTTTAAAGCTGTAAAGAATAATTGAAATGCACTTGTTGACTAAAATGGGCACACTCAAATGGTATGGAGTAAAATGGCGGAAATAATCCGCTTCACATAATTAATCGTAGCTCCTATAGGTGGAAAGCATGACTTTTTTAATTTTATTTTGTAGATAAACGGTTTAGCTAAATATTTCAACATTTTATTGGAACAAAAAAAAACGAAAATACCGACCGTTTTACCCCGGTATTCCCGTAGTAATTTAAGCAGATATAAACTTTTGATGAAGTCAGTTGAGTGCTCAAATGCCAACTTTGACAGGAGACTAAATAAAATATCATACAACTCATTTCTTCTATTTTATCTTTTTTTTTCTTCTTTTTATATGGAACTCAATGACATATAATAATACCTAGACTTGCATTTGAAAGCATCGCAGAATGCAAATCAGCTGGAGCCGCCATTTTGGTAACCCGTATAGTAATTATTCTCATGTTAAAAAACTACTATTAAATTGATAACTTGTTTCCTTAATCATCTCGATGATCAGGCTAATATTTAATAAAGTTTGCGTCAGACACAGGAATAAATTGGCCTCTAGTTTACTATTTTTAATAATGATACGGGTATTCAAAAATGGAGTCCCCAGCGGTTTTCATTGCTGTGCACTTTTAATGAAAGCATCGTCATTCTAGGTATTATTATATGTCACTGATGGGACTCTACTTGGTCTCTTCATTCCATTCCCACACACACCAACATTACCCATACTGAAACTAAAGAAAAATATCTATGGATCTTTTATGATTTTCATTCCAGTAGTCATACATATCTACCAACTCTTTTTTTTAGCCTATAACATTAAAAAAATTCTTGGCGGTCAAATTAGACATTTCACCAAAAAAAAAGAGTGAAATAATTTTTATATATATTAGAATTTATTTATAAAAAAGTTTTTAAAATATAATGATGGTTCCTCTCTGGGAACA